CGTTTCTACCTTCCAATATGTTTTGAAAGAGAACTCTCTCTCTCTCATCTACGTGCGGGGCGGGGCCTCACGGACACGCTGCATCTCTCGCTCACAGATACGCTGCAGCGCTGTGCACACGGTTCTGCCGGTAATGAATATTACATATTGTGAGGAAACTTTCCACCAATAATTCCAATAAGTATTCACTTCAGGTTTACGAAAGTAACTGCACTCAGATTACTCGTTTTTCAAATGTAACACCAGCTGAATATACTGATTTTTTTTCTTCTTTCTGATTACGTAACACCGTTACATGTATTCCGTTACAACCATAGACTGTATATATAAATGGACGTAGTGTCCGTGACGTCACCCATAGGATTCTGCAGAGTTGCCGTGAAGCCCTTAGTAGGCGGAGTCGGCCACTAACGGCTTGACAGCAACGTCAGAGTCTAATCCCGCCTGCTCCAAATAAGGGCAAAGAGGCGGAGCCGAGGCGGGACCTGCTGCCTCCGAACTGGAAGTAAACAGAGCTAGCTCAGGCTAAGAAGCTAAGCTAACATGAAATACATGCATACCAAGTTACTGCTAACAGTGTAGTTCCCCTATATAAACGTTACATTCATAATCAAATGAGACAATCTGCAAGAGAATTAGCTATATTTTATTATTCTTAATGCTTGTCATTCACACGTTGAGAAAAGACGGACTCCACCGCCCGGACCTAACGGAGCCGCAGTGGGCTAGCTCCGGGACGCCGGCTGGAGCTAGCCCCCTGCGGCTCCGTTAGCTCCGGCGGCCACCACTGGGATAATTGGGTCCCCTATTAACATTTGCTCCCGTTTAGCATTATGGGCGTCATAGCCATAGACTATACAAGTCTTACCCAAGGCTGAATCATAAACTAAAATGTATATGTATGCATAAAGGGTTACGTCCTTAGCTGGCTAATAAGTAACAAGCTAAGCTACCAAGCACACAAACACCTGCGAACGGGGTTAACATGTATAATATTATCATTTTAGACTTCTTGGAAGTTCTGTTAGTACATTCAAGCGCACAGCACGACATTTTAATTGTCTGGTATTTGTAACAATATTCTCTAAAAGACACAATCACCACGAACACGGCTAAAGCTAAAGGGTCAAGTACAGTGCTATGACTAACTAACGTTGTCGCCTCTATGGTTGTAGCCTAGCAGAGTGGACAAGTTGCTGTTAGCTGACAGTGAGGCATGTACGTGTCCATCAACGTGACCACGCCCTAATTTATGCAAAAACTTTAAGACCTAATATAAATAAAAGGGTGGTGTTAGAAAACAATTCACTCACAGATTCATAATCATGAAGGTGGAATCTAACTATATCGATAATAATATTTATTGCATCCATGGGTAGAAACATGTTTTTTTCTGCTGTAAAGTTGGGCATTTTAACATGGGGGTCTATGGAAATTGCTCCTTTCTGCAGCCAGTCCTTAGCGGCCCATGTATGAACTGCAGTGTGTGGCACTTCCGTATTGGCTTCCCGGCTGTTCCCCAGAGTTTGACGCTTGGTTACAACCCAACCCTGTGTAAGGGTGAGTGCAAACATTTTCGTTAAAACTAGTACCTGAGTGCAACGGAAGTTGAAGCTCCTGTGGCGGAGTCTTCCAGAGCCTGGAGGCGAGCATCGATAGCTATCATGGAGCTAGCCAGGGATTGCAGGGAGCCGGCCGCGCTACTCTCCATAAGGGGTGTGACACTCCCTGCCTGGCGAGCCTGCGAAGGGGTGGATTTTTGGAGGGGGACGGGATCCTGGAGGGCTCGACTTCCTGACCTTTTTTTACCTCCGCGGCTGCGGCCTCGTCCTCGCCCTGCTCTCTGGGGAGCTGACTGGAGCTGCTGCCCCGGACTGGGGAGCTACGCTGGAGACCTGTTCCGAGAGATCTCGCAGCTGAGAGAGAGTGAGGCCTGGGGCTGTGGGAAAGCCCTGCTGCAGGAGCCGGGCGATGAGGAAGTCTGCCTCTGTTGATAAGCCGCTGTGGGGAGCCGAACCGGGATCGGAGACTTCCAGAGAAGGTTCGTGTTCCGAATTGTCCGAGTTGGACATCTTGAGCTAGTTGTTTTTTACGGTTTTTCTCACGAGAAGGAGTATTGTATTGCAACTAGGGGTGTAACGGTATCCGTATTCGTCCCGTACCGTCACGGTTCGGCACACGCAGTCACACGACGAATACGCCTTTTTTTTTATGAGTGGGAAAAAAGTGTCATTCAGGGCAGTATCCACTACACTATATATAATCCAGGGGGCGGTATTGCGCCTAAAAGCTGTTTGCCAGCCGCCCTTAAACAACAAATGAAGAACAAGAAGAAACACAACAACAAAACGAACAAAATACAAGAAGAAGAAAAGTTAGTATGGCGATTTCAGATAACACACAGGAGCTAGAACCCACCTGCTTCGTTTAAATCAGCTGTGTGGGAACATTTCGGGTTCCTTGTGGACTACAATAACGATGGAGTGTACGAGTGGTGGATCGGACGAGGACGGTGTGTCGCCGTTGTTCTACAGTGGTGCGGTATGCTAATGGGAACACACGCCAAACATGCTAAATCATATCAGAAGGCATCACCCAGATTTGCCAATCACCGGAGCCCGGCAAAAGACAACAGCAGTTCAACAGCTGATCCCCGCTGTTTTTAAGAAGCCAATAGACATGAAAGCCGTGAGACCAAAATAAATAACGGAAGCTTTTGGCATATGTTTTTCAACGACTTTGCGCTCTTGAAACACTTTCTTATTATTTATGATGTCATATTTTCAAGACATTCTTTTTAGCTTTACAGCTTGATGAAACCTTTTTGTTTGACATCAGCCATTATAGATAATATGGCCATCTGTGTGTACTGTGTATGGTTTGTTTTTAACTGTTTAATACAGTTCATTATTAAAAAAAGAGAATTATGCATTTGGGACTTTTTTTTGCTTTTTCTTGCTGTACCGAACCGTACCGAACCGTGACCTCCAAACCGAGGTACGAACCAACCGTGACTTCTGTGAACCGTTACACCCCTAATTGCAACTACCATTGCGTGTGATCATCTGCAATGACAACTGACAGGGAGGAAGAGCAAGCATTTAAGGAATTTAGCATGTGCAGCGATTGGCTGCTGAGGGGTGACGCCCTCGTATTTAATGAGGGGGGAAGGGAGCCATAGAGTGACGTGTAAGTGACTCGTGTTAGGTCTTCCTTATTGAATTTGCGCTAAAGCTTTCATAAGGCAGATTCAGGCAGTATGCGTATTGATCCACAGTTAAAGTATTAGCCTACAGAACAGTACAGTTTACAGAGAAGAGATAACATATTATCCTTTTACAACAAACACTATATATTTGTTATTTTACTAACATTGGACTCCTGCTAGTAATCTAGCAAAGTAAAAACTGAGTGGGTGGCAGGGCACAACTGCATTACCTGAAAAACACACCTTCAACTAATCAGGAGTTCATCAGTGAAATCACCTGCTTTATTTATCAGGGCGTGACTAATGATAAGCCGGAAGAATGTGAAAATAATCTCATTATCTCTATTGAAAAAACAACAACAAAACAACTATGCAACCATTATTTATTGGATTATATAGGGATTCAAAATAATTCTACAAATGTATATGTAGGCCAGAGTCCTGCACGGGTCTGATTTTCAAGACCCGCTCCCGCCCCGCACCCGCGACGTGCAATACCGAACCCGCCCCGCTACCCGCACATATTGCCAATTAGTTCCGCAACCCGACCCGACCCGTCGGCACAAGATCCGCAACCCGACCCGAACCCGCATAGCCTATGAGCAGTGAAAACGTGCAATTATTAACACACGCAGTTTCATATTTGTCTCAGAAAGCGTGGGATGTTGGTTATTTCCTCCATCTAGGAACCAAAAGCCTCCCAGACGTTGGATTTCGCTCTTGAGGAAGTGTTATTGAAAATGTTGTATTCTCCGCTAGAGAGCTTCACCTCAGCTATTTCGAATGTGGCGCTCACAGCAGCAGATTGATGCGCTGCAGAGGTTATGATTATGCGCGGTCCCGCGGGGGAGAGGTCTGAGGATTTTAAACATTAAACTAATTTATTATTATTTTAATATATTTATTATGCAATACCCGCGACCCGACCCGCATCATCTTTGTTTTACCCAGAACCGAACCCGGAAAAAAGCGTTTGAAAAAATACCACCCGCGAATCACCTTTTTTGCGGGTCACCCGTCGGGTACCCGCGGGTACCCGACCCGATGCAGGACTCTGATGTAGGCTACATAAGGTATTATTAAATCATTTTGACTTGCTTCTTAGGGGGAAAATTATAGATACATTTAGATTTAGCCCACCTTTACCCAATGCATCTTAAAGCGATGTACATATCCATACAGTATTATGTAACACAGACATTTTATATTCTGCTTAAAATAGTACTTATTGGGTAAGTATATTTTTAAAGTTCAAACTTTGCTACTTTTCTTTAATTTAAATGTCTTTTTGAAGTAAAATACAGACACAGTGGACTTTTGAGTTGGTGGCAATTTAGATGTCTTAAAGCTTTTATATTTAAGTATATATCAACTTCTAGTCCTGTATTGACAAACACCAATGCATTTAATTACATCTCACAAATGTATTGCCACTTTGTGAACCTGGAGCCTGAAGATCTGTGGCCTTGGTGGTGGCCTGTCCAAACGTATAATCATTTTATGTTGTGGCTATTTATTTTTGTAATCCCTGATTTTGAAAGGTATGTATTTACTACATTTGCCATATCATTAAACTTATCAAATGTACTTCAAGAATTTAAGGAATCCCCTTTCTAATAGAGGCTAAACTGGCTCCAAAATAATCTTTAAAAATAGATATTTAATAAATTGTACATTCTTGTAACTTGACAAGTAGTATTACAAAATAACTCATCTGAAAATGACTTCAAGGGTCAGGTTGGTTATAGTAACTGGCTTTTAATATCTTACTTGAAAGAAAACAAAAAACTGAGTCCTTGAAATTTTTTATTGTAATCTATTTGGAAACATTTTTCTTTACATTTGCCTTTTAATACAACACACTGATCATCAGTCTTGAGTTGGGGAGCAGGGAACAGCGTCAATCACCGGCTGACATCTCTCCACGACAGCATTGATTTCTCCAACCGTCACGCCGTCGTAGATTCCAGTGATGTACGTCCAGTGGGTGTCCCCGTTGTGGTTGGTCCTGCTCAGCCTGCCAGTGAAGGGAATGTCGGCCGTCATCTTTCTGCCGTCCATCCTCACGGTGCAGGAGTGGTTGGGTGGGACCACCAGCTCGACAGAGACGGTGTGACTGATGGCCTCCACCGTTTTTGTTCCCTCTGAAAAGGTGACTGAATGTTCCTTGCTGAGGTCCACAGTCCCTGGGCCAAGGATGGGCACTTTGGCCTTCATGGTGGAGATGGATCCATTGCGGGTCTCTCTGCCAATGTCCCAGGACTTCTCCACAGAACTTGTCTTCTCCAGTTTCACTGTCTTCTTCACATTTCTGCACTCTAGGTTGGTGACTTTGGCGAGCTGCAGGGCCTCCGGAGGATAGTGGAAGAGCTCCATCTGGTCGATGCCATACTCCACATGAGAGATGTGCTGGCTGTAGCTGTCTCTGTTGATCGCAAGAACCTGGTAACTCTTGTACCAATACTCATCGCCCTCCCAGGGAAGGAAGAAGGCTTCATGTTGGGTCACCACTTTGCCGAGACCATACTTGTTTTTGCCCACAAAGATATCTGAGTCAGGGCAGGTTCTGATGGCATAACCTGGGACTGATCCATACGATTCTTCAACCCACTCCAGGAACTCAAAGTGGTCAACGTTAATCAGCATTTCAAACTTTGTGGATGCGTACTCTTTGTCGGCGTACGGGTACTGGCAGAAGTTCCCTTTACTGGGAGAATAGAAGCCGGCTTCACAGTTGACTTTGCACACGTAGTCGGTGCGTTCGGTGTAGCCGTTGAAGATAGCGACGGCACCGCTTGGGAGGAAGCCGCTCCACGTCACCCACTTGAGGTTGGTGTGCTCAGCAAACATGGGGTAGAAGTGTGTGGTCGTCTCAGTTTCTAGAATCTCTCTCATTTCAGTAGCTTGGGTCACTTCCCGGGATGGGACAACATCTTCCAGTGTGGGGTTGAGCCATGCCTCTGAAAGAGAATACAGGATGAATCAAATCAATTGCCATCATTTCAAAAAAGATGACTGAATCAAGTCTCAATCAAAGGTAAACCAACGCGTATTTCTCATGAGCAAACAATATTTTTCACTCCCTTGCCTGCATATTTTGTTTGAATGTTAAAAGTGTTTCCTCCATGGAAAACATTTACTTAATTGCTTCTGCGAGAGTGTTAATTTTCGAGGACGCATACAGCTGACCGATCATACAAAACGACAAAATAGGTAGATTGCCCGTCATCACATGGCCTTTCTATTAAACGTCGTAATATTTGTAGTACCAAAATATTTGGTTAGGTTTAGGAAAAGATTGTGGTTTGGGTCAAATTGAGTACCTGATGTAGTTATTATATACATATTTGATAAAGAGGGTTCCACTGACTTTGCTAGATACTAATGTTGTAATGTATTTATTCCGTAACTTAAATAAAAAACGTGTTGACTTTTGATTACACCTGGGACGAAAACTATTGTCTTTTGGGAGAAAATTCTATGAATGCAACATGAAAACACTTCCCAATTTGGGATCAATAAAGTATATCTTATATTGTATGTAATGCAACATGTAAACATAATAAAAAATGGCAAATGGGAAACTCTGTATTGTTAAGACTCACTGCGGAGTTGTTCTTTCCCTTCATGCATCTGGGAGATGTAGAGCAGCGGGTCAGTCTGCAGCGCCGGGCTGCAGAGCTGTAACACTGCCAACACAACAGCAACACACCACTTCATCTGGACCAACAGAGACAATTAAACCCAAATGTCAGCATTGAAAGTCTGTAGCAAAAAAGGAAAACTGATCAAACCAACCAATTATAAACCCTGGGTTACAGTTCGGTATGTGTACTTGACAGACTAGTTTCCTGCCAACCAATAATACTTGAAATGATAATGAATTTAATGAAAGAGACGAGTTAAGTTTCGTAGAAAGTACTTGATATGACTTGTTCCTTTTCACATATTTCAGGTTTGAAATTGGATGGAAAAGGGTGAGTAAAATAGACCCATACTGCTTGAGGTTTCAGACACTAATAGGTCCATGTTTTACTTGATTTTCTTTCTGAATAGATGATTAATCCGTTTCAGCAATTATTACAATGCAACAATGAATATAGTTTTCATATACAACCATGTTTTTCAACTCAAAAACGTTGGCCATGGTCATTAATCCTTCCTAATCAATAGTTGAAGTTCAGTTGAAGGGCAGTGCAACTGATAAATAACATACTAAATAGTGCATATTTAAAAAGCTTCCCCTCTTATTAAAAAATAATTTGTCATTTATGTCTCCGCCGGAGGAGATAGGGTGGTGCCATATACATAAAGCAAAAATCTATATATTATTATGTTGATGATGTTGAAGCATAGATGTTAAGACTGTAATTTTGAGTTTCTTTTTTTAATAGCATGTGAAAAACTCAATCTGCATTTATGGTTAAGAAGCATTACCTAAATTGGCATTCATTTTGCCACGTCATATTTAGTACAATTGTTAAATTTAGAATTATTTAAATTAACAAAATACAAAATAATAAGGGAAATGCCTTGCCTTGCCTTGCCTTGCCTATTCATAAGTTCTGATTGTCAACCAATATCATGCACTATAGGAAAAGAATAAGACAGTCAAATTAAATATTTTGTTTTAAGTCAGCACTTCATTCAGGTATAGAGAATCCGTTTTACCTTGACAGGTTCCTCCTGCAGTGACGATGCCTGCAGTATGTGCTGAGTTTTAAAACCTCTCTGCAGACTTATTGCCCGCAATAAACAGGACGGAGAGCTACAGCAGACGCAAAGTTTACTCCCTCCTGCTGCTCAGTTTAATGTATTAGTGTTAGAAAATACTCACATGAAGCTTTGGCAATGTATTTTTCCCAAATAACTAGTTACAGTTCGTATAAGGGAAGTAGGATGTGTGACTGAGTATGTTTTGCTGGTTTACATCATTAGACATCTGAAGGGCTTAATAGGAGCGTGATAAGCTTATTTTCAGGTTTCATATTTGTATTCTCTGCCTCTACTGTGACCCGTTTTAATGTTTTAATGTTAAAAGGTCTTTATCTTTCTCATACTGCAGCACCTCTTTTCACCCTCTGTCTGAAACCAGAGCCCAGTCTGCTCTGATTGGATAGCTGGCCGGCTCGGTTGTGATTGGTCAACCTCTTAGAGATATCCCACCTCTTAGCCTATAAGGCACAATGTGTTGGAGAGCAAGCCAATTGAAACAAGGGTGTAACACAGTGATGTCACATTGTCAAGGAAGTAAACAAAGGACTTGGGGATTTTAGCCTTTGAGGACCATTTACATGCACAACAACCTTCATAACACACTACAGGAAAAGGGATCCATTAAAACCATAATACGGCCCCCTTTAAGGTATATTTTAAAAATAAAACCCATTACAAGCCACCTGCGGTATTCTGCCATTTTAAAATGTGTATATGCTTATTCTTTGTGTTGCATCTTTTTTCTTTTGCCAAGTCATAATGTAAATGTACACAGTGTTTGATTTTCATGCAGTCAGATTGTTTTAAGGAATATCATGGATTTAGAAAATACTGTACAGTATGTGTGTGTGGTCTGGTACATTATAGTAGTTTTCATGTACATAGAACAGGTGGCTGAACATACAAAGTGAATATTTCAACATATCTCCTCATACATAGTGAGAGTGATATCTTCCGAAAAAGTACATTTTTAAGCATTTTCTCAAGATTATCCAACAAAACATTACATTTAGCTTATTACGTCCATTCTTTTTTAAAATAACCTCCAATCTTCACAGTAAATAACTTGGCTAGGATAAGGCAACACAACTGCTTGGTTAGGTTAAGGAAATATTGAGGTTTGGGTTATGATAACAACGCAAGTGTTGTTATAAGTTCGTAAGTTGTCAAATAAGTCCAAGACGATGTCCGGTATAATAAAAATATTCTCTCTCTGGTGTATTGGCCTCAACCATCCACTGGATTACTTCCTATGCAGACATTTGCGCGGTTATACTTACATACAAATTGTTTTAATTAGATATATACATATTACACTGCATTACTTTTTGTGTGTTTGTTTAGCTCATTGCCTTATTTATTGTTTTGTTAGCCAGTTGTCTTAGTAAACAGTTACAGATATAAAAAGGACCATCATGCTGTTCTGTCTTACTTTGTCCTTGAATACAAAACATGTAGCTCAAGCTCTCAAGGAGTGTAAAAAGACCATCCATGCTGATAATGATTACAGGAGGATTTATTGATCCTTGTTTGGAAAACAGCACTCAGATTTGCCTGGATTTAACATCTTATATCTACTAGGCAATAGGTGATTGCATGAGGTCCAAAGTGCTGTGGCGCTCTTTCTCCATTGATGACGAGATACTGTGTGTCTAGATAAGCTCAGGCTAGGAACAAAATGATTAGATCCCCTGTAATAGTGGGTCGTTGATTAAGAAGGTCCTTGTTACGTAATGTTGCCAAGATTAAACTAGAGGGGGAGCCGCTCAACCCTGACATTGTCCTGCATGTCATTATGCCCTATCATTGAAAATTGCTGATGTCATGCCCATTGGTGTACGTCCTTGAGACATAAACTGATTATCAATGTATTTAGTTAATTCTGAATGAGGTCGTTGTGTGAAATAAGCTGTGTAAAGGTCATTTACATTGACAAACTGCACTGTCAGAGCCCTCATTGTGTTCATTGTATTACTCAAATGCGTATGTTAAGTTGACCAGTAATGACCATCTTATCCTCACACAATGGGAGCTAATAGTATTTTAAGGCAGGTTTTTCTATTTGCGGTGCATAGTAGAAATGTCATATTGTACTGTCATGAATGGATGTCTCTCAAAGAGACAGTAGCAACCAAGAAGACACTCAAAATGTCCACAAAGAAACATGAAATTAATAGAAAGAGACTCACCGTGACTATGAAAAGGTTCAAAAGAAGTCTGTGTTCTGCTCCTTTGTAGGAGAGGTGGTGGGGCCTTTTCTAAGTATGTGCCCAGGGGCCCACTGTTTTGTTATCCGCCCATGACTGTACTTATTGCCTAAGCTGAATATTAAAAACCAAATGTGTGTCTGGGTAAAGAGAAATAGGCTGTACAAATTAATAGTACCAATGCTTTATGATTCATTTCAAGATTCAAGGCTTTATTGTCATGTAGCGACAGTGAAGATATGGCAATGAAGAAAACTTAAGTCACAGGCTCCTCCAACAATGCAGAATGAATTTATATAGGACAAACAAATACAATAATTGAGATGTGCAAATAAAATAGAATAGAAATAGTGCAAGAGAGTCTATATGTGGACATTGCTATAGATTAAGCAAAAAGACAGTAATTTTGTATGAAAGCTGGTGACATAAAGCTTTGAGTCAAGGATTGTCCCTCTTACCTGACCTTTCAGTGCTCCAATGATGCTGTTTCCGTTTAAAAAAGGTTGTTGCAATCAGCAGTGCCTCTTAACTACAAGTTAAAAGAGTTAGGTGCTGTTTACACGGAAACGAAACGGGTGGTATCCGCTACTTTTCTCTTTCGTGTAGCCCGTTCGTTCACACGAAGCCGTAACGGAACCCCGAAAACGGACCCCTAAAACGATAACGGGTCCTAAGGTGGATAGCTCTGCGGACGGAACACTCTGGGGAGCCAAACGGCTTCGTGTGTAGGTCCTATACCAGTGATTCTCAAATGAGGGTACGCGGACCCCTAGGGGTACAACGTGAATTATCGCATACGCCGACTTGGACTCGGACTCGTGAATTTTTCCCCCCACGATGACTCGGACTCGACTTGTACATTGACTCTCTGACTTGGACTCGGACTCGAGCAAATTTTCTCTGGAGTCTGATGTCTTCTATCCTGGCGTGTGCACCTGCAAGGCGAGTTCACGTACTGGGCCCCGCTATTCCAGTCTAAAGATGTCTAGAGACACACCCCGCATCGTGCTGTATGCTTTCACATACACATATGAATACACATTCTGCTTCCACATTGGAAAAGAGCAGCGCAAAATACTCGTTATGTGGAAAAAATATTGAAGAGAAGGCTCCGTAACACATTACTCTAACGCGCCACAGACGGACCCGGTGTTACATCAATGATGGTTGGTGCTCAAACGCCATAGTTGACTACTAACAGACAATATTTCCCTGATGTCAAATGAACAGCCATATCATTTCCCCCTAGAATTAACTATTGTTTTTGCTCTTGCAAATGTTTCTAAAAATATAATTTTGAGAATGCCCTTCTCCTGTTTTTGTTCTGTTTTGTCATGTCCAACCCTAACACTTAGTTACAAATGTATTTTATTAAGCATTCCAGTTGCATAATAACAATAAATGGTCCATGAATCCCTAAATCCTAGCTTTTGTTTTGCAAGTATTTGGTTACTAACCAAAGTATTAAGATAATATGCTGATGACACTCAACTATATGTCCTCCAGACCAGGACTATGTCATAATGACCAAGGTCAACCTTTGCTTAATGGACATTAAAATATAGATGCAAAAAAACATTATAAAACTTGATTGCAAAAAGTCGGACATCGTTATCATTGGTCAAGACGTCCTTAGCTACCCCATTTACGATTTTACAATTAATATCGATGGCTCAATTGTCTCTCCTTCCTCCCAAATCCACAATCTTGGAGTCATCCTTGACCCCATGCGCCAAATGCAGGGTTCTGTAGAACTCATTGCCAAACTTTTATAAAAAATGTGCCCACATTCTCATCATTCAGAAAAGCCCACAAAACCCTCTCTTCAGGCTTGCCTTCACCCATCTTGTAATTCCTAGTTAACACAAATTATTATGATATTTTTATTTAATTTGAAGTTTATTTTACCTAGCTATATTAAAATGCTTTTTGTTTATTTATCCCGAAATATGTAAAGCATCTTTGAAATTATGAAAAGCAGAAAAGTCGGATGTATTATTAATTATTGAGATATCTCAGAATAGGCTAAATGGATTAATATATTTAATGGGTGTAAAATAATTATTTATTAGTGTACTACAAAAACTATAATGCCACATATTTACAGTTTTAATAGATATCACAGTTCCATTCATCAAATAAAGTAACACCAAACAATTAATAAAGTCGTTTTAAAGTTCAATTTCTCATAACTTTGGTTATGAAATAAATAAAAGCCTTACAAAGTAAATAGCAGAAGTACATCGTTAAGGAACTGTACCTTATAGCTCTCGTGTTTGTGTATGTTGCAAATCTTAAATGAACAATAATATCTCATCAGTTTAATTGTGTAGAGAATGGAAATGAAGAAAAAGTTAAAGTTCCATATTATTTTATTTAGCATTTTCGACATGTAGAATCTTATTCTAGAGCAACATGACACAAAGGACATTTTCACATTATGTGTGGCATTTTTGCTTATTCAGACAAATAATTTGCATCCAAAATCACAAACATCAGATGTCTGTCAGTCTTTCAGGGGCATGGCTTGGCATCAACAACAGGTTCGCAGCGGTCCACTACAGCTCTGACTTCTCCAATCTGGACTCCGTCATATGTGCCAGAGATGGACGTCCACTGGCTCTCTCCGTTACGGTAGGTTCGGCTGAGACGGGCTGTGTAGGGAATGTCCGCCTTGATCTTGCGTCCTTCCATACGGACTCTGCAGGAGTGGTTAGGGGGGACGGTGAGCGCCACAGACACTGAATGGCTCATGGACTCCACCACAGTGGTTCCTCTGGAGAACTGCAGGGTCTTTTCACCGCCCAGCTCAATGCCGCCGGAGCCGATGAAGGGGATCTTAGCTGTGATGCTGCCAGTGATACCGAGCATGGTGGATCGGCCGATGTTCCAGGTTGTCTCCAGCTCTGTGGTCTTTGAAATGGTGACTGTCTTCTCCACCGTCTGGCACTCGTTGTTGGTGACCCCGGAGATGCGCATGGTTTCAGGAGGATACTGGAAGATTGCGACCTCATCAATGCCGTACTTGACGTCAGAAATGTGCTGGGTGTAGGCATCCCTGTTGATGGCCAGGACCTGGTAACTCTTGTACCAGTACTCATCACCTTCCCAAGGCAGGAAGAAGGCTTCAAACTGAGGAACAACCTTCCCAAGACCATACTTGTTCTTCCCAACGTAGATGCCAACACCTGGGCATGTTCTAACCGAATTTTGGGGCACTGAACCATAGGAACCTTCCTTCCACTCCAGGAACTCAAAGTTGTCTTTGTTGGTCAGGATCTCAAACTCGGGGGCGTAGTACTCACTATCTCCGTAGGGGTAGCGGCAGTAGGGGCCCAGAATGGGGTTGTAGAAGCCAGCCTCACATTTGTACTTGCAGACGTAGTCGGTGCGTTCGGTGTAGCCATTGTAGATTGCAACTGCGCCATTGGGCACAGAGCCGCTCCAGGTCAGCCACTCCAGGTTAACGTTATTACCGAAAATGAAAGAGGAAGGTAGATCCTGCTGTTGCTCTAGGTCGGCAGGAGCCAGAGGGCCCAACACTTTGTTACGAGTTGGTTCAGGCACCTGACCCTCCAGCTCTGGGTTCAGGAAATAAACTGTAAAAAGAGACAGACAGAACATTTACATATTTAACCATATAGTTTCAGTTTTAAGGAAAATGAACGTTTGGCAAAGCAAGAGTCAAAGGACCTCACACCAGGGACCCCACAGACTTTCTACAAAACATCTGCTTCAGAGTTGCTTTAGCCTGCATGGTTTTATACCACAGGTGTGGTGTCACGCAAACTATATATTTTTAGGTCCGAACAATACCTTTTCTGTGCAGTGAGCTCTTCTTCACAATGTCCTGCAGACTGGCTGAGGACAGACCCAGCAGGGCCAGCAGCAAAAACACTGACAGCGTCATCTGAAGAAGAAGCACAACATATTCTCCATCAAAAGCCTTTAAACATCCACAACATCAACATCTAATATATGCTTATTATGCAAGGAACATTTTCGTTGATACGTTTTTTTCCTTTGGGCTGATCACTAGATAAAAAACCCCTTCGTCTTAACAACGAATGGGTTCAAATCTTTTGGGACATTATCAATATTTTCCTTTGGTAAGGATGATATAGGTCTTTCAACATGTAACATGTTATCTGTGCAAGGTACATTACTAGACATCCGTGTTAAATAAAGCTCTAAAATTTACGAAATTTACCAATAAACCTACTGTAACATTTATTTTTTTAGCAAGACCTAGGAGCATGCCACTTCGCATTTCACAACATATATGACTTTTGTATATCAGAAATAATGTTTAGAATATTTTAAGAATTAGGGTTATGGTATTGAAGATAACCGTCAAATATATAAGTTAAATATTAATACCCTGGTAATAATACACATATTATAATAATGCAGTGCCTCTTAAATGTATTTGCCAACAAAAACCTGCACAGTAATTAACATTATTTTTCCCGAATTTACAGTAGATATAACCAAAACACAATAATTGTGTAGTGAAAGTATGATATCACATTGATAAAAAAATAGAAGATAACAAAAACTTTAGTAGGAGACACATCTTTTCCCTCTGAAATGGTATCACATATTTAATAATTATTAATATTATATTATATTTGATCATTTGATCAATTATTTCAGTTCAATTTGATTAAAATCAAGATCTTAATAATTCCCAGTGGGTCAATTAGGAAATGTTTAGCAGTGCACATATTTAAGTATAATTCATTCACGAGTTCCATGAAATCAATACAAATGCATTACTCTTGATCAGTTGCTAAGTGATTATTCTAAGTCTGGTTGACCGAAGGTAAAAAGAGACTGAACAGCACTCACCCTTACAGTCGCTCCCTACTGATACACTGCCAGTTCCACCTCCAGGTTTATATGAACTGGTTTATTGCTGAACCATAAAGTAGTGTGCACTTTCACTCCATCTGACATTGACCCGAACAGATACAGCTGTCAGTGTCTCTCTCAGACTTAGATGGGATTGACTGTGGCTGTGAGGTAGTGAGGTGGTGGTTGTTTTTCAATCGGAAGGGTGTGGCTTTAACATGTTGTTGTATCCTTTGGCAAGATACTTCAGTGTTTCCCATATCTGTGGGATATACTTGGGCGGGGGGGGGTCCGCGGAGAAAAAAAAGTTTTTACAACATGTTTATTTATTGACTTTTCATTCCTGTATAATCATTTTGTGCAAAGATGGCACTGTTTGTCAGAGCACTTCATCCTTCTGGGATTTCATGAAGAACAGCTCCAACGTCTGTGTGTATGGGAACGCCTCTGGTGCTGGTCCATTAACTGCCAGTGTTTCCCACAGATCTGAAATATATTTGGGGGGGTGGTAGTAGCAGGGGGGGGGTTGAGGTGACATGCAACAACATTAACATTAACCTTTCTGTTGGTCGCT